AGAATGGTCTCATGAATCTAACTTCTTTATATCGCATTCTTCCAATCACATATTCCTTGGACTTATCGTTTAAGCATATAACATTTATATGAGATGGCTCAAACAATAATCTTTGCCCTTTACATTTAAACTACATTAGTTTGAAATGTCCGTAAAGTATCATCATATGATTGGTTTTAGGGCACATTTCCAACACGGGCATCGCAACCAACGGAGAGGTCGCGAGCCAATATAAATGACCCCCAATGGTGACGAAGATCAACATCTTCAGTCTCGGCCCACGCGGCCGTTGGAAGCCTGATTGAGGCAGGGTACGTCTGGCGCCAGCACACCAGAAACTCGTCGTCAGAGAGGACGTCGAGATTAAAGAAGTGCTTGAGGACCTCGTCGGCCCGGTGAGGAGGCGCCGGTCGAGAGGCTAGTTGAGGGCCGAGCGCGGTCGAACGCTAGAAAGCAGGAACCTCAGGAAGGGTGGAAAAGCAAACCTACAGCCAGAGTTGGAATACCCAGAGGGGTCCGTTCTGGTACGGGTCGATTCGGTTGATGGTCGTCTCGGCCAAGCAGCGGAAGAGATTAGCCAGGATAGCCGGGCTAAGCGCCAAGGAGTGACCACTAGCCAGGGCTTGGGCCACCGGCATATTCTCTACCAGGCATTTGTTCGACCTGGTACAACAAATGAATTTGTTATACCAGTAGAAAAGGAAGGCTTTATGTTCTTCCCTTCGTAGGCTCTCCTCGCCTCGGCCGGCGAAGTGGAGAATGAGAGTGTTATAATTGAAGAAGTTCTTGTGGAGCTTCTGAACTTCTTCTTTCGAAGGCTCCCGATCGCCCTGGCTGAGTGTCTCGACGGCCCGTTCGTCGAACAACGTTTTTAGGTCAAGGAGCGAGGGGCATCCGGAAGGGGCAGCATCAATTGAGAGACCAGATGGAGAAGTCCCAAGGATGGCCGAGATGTCGAGGACTGTGGGGCCAAAAGGGCCGAAAGGAAGGATCATGGTGTTGGTAGCCGAACACCATAAACTCAGGGCCGCCATGAGCAGTTCTCTATCCATGGTAATCTCCATGGTCGAGAGCATAATGGCATCATAGATGCCGATAGCTTTCCACTCTTTGCCGAAGAACGCCCTTATTCGGTCAACCCAGGCGGCCCAGGCTGCAGTGGTCGAAGGCCAGGCTCCTTGAGAAGGTTGATGATGCACGACGGTATTACATCTTTGAATAATGGACCCAGAATCTGGTGAGTAATGGCTAGGTCATTTTGCGAAGCGTAGCGTCTTGATGGCACTCCAATCGATGAAGTCCTTGCATTTATTGCACTCATCAGAAAGCTTTGAAATAAAGGAGGCCATTGGTAAAGAAGAGAGAATGTGGGGTTAAAAGAGGAGGTTGCAGAGAGATGAACTCGGGGGCTTTGTTTAAGCAGGCAGGAATGGCAAAGGGGAAGATTTTGAAATTTCTGAAGGCGTGGGATGCAAATGGTAGAAATTTAGGTATTTATAGGCTTTTCAGAAGGAAGATCAAACGTTTGGTATTCGAAAAGCACTAATTCGAATTGGGGGGAAATTTAACCGAGAAAAGGTCCCAATCATTTCGGATATTTTGGGAACCTGCGAGGATAGGATCGAGATTTTCGAGGATCTAGGACGCACGATTGCATGCGGCGGCGGTTTTAATGCATTAATGAGGAAGAGATGCTTCGGTGGGTGCACATTTTCGAGGGCCATGATTGAAAATTGTTAGGATTAGCAGAGAGTCGACACGTGGCTGCACGGCGGGAGTAACAAGGATGGTGCAATCATATCTCATAAATATGCAGTGATGGTTATCAAGAAAAGCGAAGTTCAAAAAAAAAAAAAAAAAAACAAAAGATGGTTCCGCTTTTTCAAGGTCGAAGCCCGACCAAAGGTCAACAGTCGGTGACCTCAGAAGCGAGGGGGCAGTGTTTGGGCCTAAAATAATATTGTTGGGCCGAGCATATAGTTAGGCTCGGCCCAAAGCTATGTCAACTATTATGGGTTGCCTGATAGATTCTGGGCCAGTTAGCAGGGGTGGTCGAGTCCTATCCTAAGAAGGGATAATTCAAATAAACAAAAAGGTCGAGAAAGTTATGGTGCAACCAGGATTCCCGGTCAGCGAAGAATAAGGCCTCGGAAGAGGGGAAAGTTCAAAATCCTAATGGAAGTGGGTTTGTTCGAAGCAAAGTTGGAGCGGGACAAGGACTCCTAATCCAGATAAGGGTGCAATTCGGTCTCAAGGAATGGGGGCTATAAATACAAGAAATTATGCGATGCAGAGGACGTTCGATTCAACATACAATTGCCCTGCGCAAAGCCTCTCATATTTCTTGAGATTTTTTCCTTTTCTTTTTCGCCAACACACCTTCAGTTTGGATAAACAGCACTGTGGAAGCACCCGACAAACATCTTCAGTTTGGATAAACAGCACTGTCGCCATAGAATCAGCCGACTGAGGAGCATCTTTAGTTTGGATAAACAGCACTGCGTCGAGGCCGACTGGTTACCTATCCAAGTCTCGGCCGAGAAGGGTTTTCGAATCCTTGTTGGCAGAGGTCATCTTGTTAGCTCTCTTGGCATAGCAAGGTGTCACGAGTTCGTTATTCGGCGTGCTGGACGCCGAATGATTTTATGATTGGATACTCACAAGTGAGTTTCAGAGTTCGGCATTCTGACGGCCGAACTACATTCACCATCAAGACCTACATCACCTTTGAGTACTTGTGTCCGTATAGTCTGGTGTCGATTTGACGTGCTTATACTCTTACGAATATAATCACAGTGATCGAATCGGGCGCCGACAATTTGTGAACTTCGTAGAACTGGCAGCGTTGTCTTCAGGCTCCAGAACCCAAAGACCGAGAATGTTCTTTCCTCGGTCGCAATCGCAAGATAAAGAAGTCAACAACGCGCTCGACGCGACGTCAACGAATTTTACTTCTCGGCCGAGCTCGGCTGACGAGTTGGCACGGCCCGCATTCAGCCGAAGGACGTAGTTAGCTTATTAATACTCGGCTTGCGCGCCACGTAGGTTTTGTAATTTTTAGGGTCAACAGTGTCACAAATTAACTTCTATTACACTATCACAATGTAATATTGTTCTAATCAGCTATAAAAAAAATTTAATAAGATTAAGGCCGCATCAAAATTGACAATCATAAACATATCATTTATACTTTTGATCTATACTAAAAGGTTTCTTCTTGGTTAAAGCTTCAGTAGTGAATTTGTTATAAATGCGACTTGTTAGTCTAAATTAATGAATACCAATGTTTGATTTCAATCTAGGTTCAAAACTTATAAGATCGTTTCAGGATTAAATCCGTCAAAACTTCATTGTCAAAAAACAATTAAAACGTCATTTTGGACGACATCACAAACCGTTAGTTAATTGAACATTTTTGCGCCCGATAACAGGGGATAGATGAACAGTTTTTCTAGAGTTTAATTATGTCAAGGGGGATTACTAATTATGCAAAATTGCAACTTGCATTCCAATACCATATCCAACCTTTGAGTTAAAATATAAATTTTTTAACTCAAAAAATTTAGGTTTTAACCCAGTAATAATTTTTCTGCTCCAATCTTCTTAGGTTAAACTTTTAGTTATTAAAGAATGAATTAATTTTTTTTAAATAACTTTAAAAAAAAATTATGTAGACTATCGTAATTTAATTTTATGAATATTTTAAATTAAAAATATTTAGATTCTGATAAATATTGAAAAATCACTAAACCGATACCATGAAACTCGTGGAACTCTATGAAAGAATATGAAACACATGAAAGATTTTTTTATAAATTATTTTAGCTATAGGATTTGATTTTAGATCATTTGAATTTTTTTTTTTTTTTTTTTTACCCTTGGTTTTGATCTTTTTTTTTTTTTTTAATACATTGATATTTTGATCTTATATAACATCTCACATCGATCAACGGAGAGGGGGCGATGTGGCTTATATCTACATGCCCACCTCCATATAGTACAAGACTTTTTGGGAATTCATTGGCTTCGGGTTCCATCGGAACTTTAAAGTTAAGCAAGTTCGGGCAAGAGCAATCCTAGAATGAGTGACTCACTAGGAAGTTCTCGTGTGAGTTCATAGAAACAAAACCGTGAGGGCGTGGTTGGGGCCCAAAGCAGACAATATCGTGCTACGGCAGAGCTGAGACTGGAATGGATATGACAACCAGCATAGCTCGATTTGAAGTCCTAGTGGACAATCCAGGTCGGGGGTGTGTCAGAATGGTATCAGAGCCACTCTGTCGTGTGGTGCGAGTGTGCTGACGAGGACATTGGGTCTCTAAGGGGGTGGATTGTAACATCTCGCATTGACCAACGGAGAGGGGGTGATGAGCCTTATATTTACATGCCCACCTCCATATAGTACGAGGTCTTTTGGGAAATCACTGGCTTCGTGTTCCATCGGAATTTCCGAGGATGGGTGAACACTAGGAAGTTCAGACGAGTTCAGGCGAGAGCATTCCCAGGATGGGTGATCACTAGGAAGTTCTCGCGTGAGTTCCGAGAAACAAAACCGTGAGGGCATGGCCGGGACCCAAAGCGTCGTGTTACGGTGAAGCCGGTTTGGGATGTGACAACATTAGTTATTTGATTCAATGAATTTATAAATATAATACTAAACAAAATACACACATATGGTGGACGGCGATCCACTAATCCAGCGAGAATTCTGGCCTAATTTGTCCCAATAATAAGTTTTGGGTTAAAACGGTTCAATGATTGAAACAAGTTGAGGGATAAGTTTAGATTTAAAATTTGAGTTTTAGTCGAAAAAATTAGAATAGGTTTAAGAAAAAATCCAACACAATAAACTACAATAAGTGTAGAGAAATAATTAAACAAACAAGGAACTCCCCAATTAAAGCAACATCAACGTGCAAATTTAATCAAAAGATCAACAGAATCATAACGTCGAAATTAATCGCGGCGGCAACACACGTTTTTTCTGCGTCTTGAACGAAGTCGGTTTCACGGCATCGTGAGAAAAAAAACCAACGGTCACATTTTTATTAAAACCGATCCACCCCTGTTACCCACCGACATCTCTCAACACTCTCACCGCCACAAACTCAACCCTCCATTTTCCCACGGCCTCCCTCCAAATATCCCCCACCAAAATTACACTCTAATTCGTATCAACATTCAGATTCACTACATATATTTTTCCGGGCTTTTAGAAAAAAAACCCAATTTATATTTTCGTCAAATTCAAATTCAAAAAAAAAAAAATTTGGGGATTTGATGATTTTGCGAGACATGCAAGCCAAGTCACTGCAATGGGAGGCGTCTCCGGGGCTCCGGGTCGGGCTCAAAACGCCGCCGTCGTCCTCGTCCTGGTCGCAGCTGGCAGTCGTGAACTTGCGCGGTGGCGCTTCTGTAAATAGCTTGAAAGCCAGAGGTTTGTTTGTAGTAAAGGCCATGGAGGTGGAGGGTTCCAAAACAGCGAGTCTGAATGGGCACGCCGGGAGCTCAGGTACTGGGTTATTTCCTGAGTTGCGCATAAACCCATTTGCAATTTACCATGTAGATTTGAAATTTTTAAGCTTTTATTTGAATTTGTTTTTTATTTCTTGTTGAATAGATAAAAATGGGAGCTTGTTGTCTTCGGTTGGAAATTCAACCAATATTAAGTGGCATGAGTGCTCATTGAACAAAACTGACAGGCAGAAGTTGCTTAAACAAAAGGGCTGTGTCATTTGGATCACCGGTCTCAGCGGTTCAGGTTGGTATTTTCTTAATTCAAAGTTGTATATACATATATACATGCCTACATACATGTAAATGTATATATAATGCGGGCGTATTCATGGCACCAATTTTTTCCACAATTTTTTAAATACGTTTTTTGTGGAGTCCACTCCGTATTGTATTTTAATGATCTGAACCTTATATCTTTTAGAACATTATTTGTAGATTATCCTTGCAAAAAATAAATTAGACAAATCCAAAACCCTTATGACACGCATTTGTAGTGAAGAAAATGGACGAATACAGTTTTACAAAGAGATCCTGAACCCTTAATGCAACGGTCATATGATTTCAGATGTGGGTGATTTTGGTGGATATGATCTATGAAGGATGGCCTAAAAGATAGATGGATTGGTAGTCTAACAACACCTATACCCATCTGGCAATGTGCCGATAGAAAGTTGCTCATTACTTGTGTATTATTAATTTTGTTTGTCAGGGAAGAGCACGGTGGCATGTGCTTTGGGTGGGAGTTTGTACCGCAGGGGGAAGTTGTCGTACATTCTTGATGGGGACAATGTCAGGCATGGCTTGAATCGTGACCTTAGTTTTAAAGCAGAAGATCGTGCAGAGAACATTCGGAGGATTGGTATGTCTATGCCTCCTTTTAGCTTAACTAGGCCCTTTTTTAGATCAACTGTGGCTGTCGACTTCATTATATAATCATGAAGCATTGGCTTTGGTTTTGTATTCAGGTGAGGTGGCGAAATTGTTTGCTGATGCTGGAGTTATTTGTATTGCTAGCTTGATTTCTCCTTATAGAAAGGATCGTGATTCCTGCCGTGCAATGCTACCTGCTGGAGATTTTATTGAGGTTGGTATTTTCACTGGTTCTTAAACAGATGACTGTTTTTCAAGTTTCAACTCTGAGCTTTGTGCATATGTTTCAAATAATTCTGGAAGAAGTTCTCAGTAAAGCGAACTTGTTTTGTGAAAGGTGTTCATGGACGTTCCACTTCAAGTTTGTGAAGCTAGAGACCCGAAAGGCCTATATAAGCTTGCACGTGCAGGGAAGATCAAAGGTATAAGCAAACTACTATCTCGGTTTTTGGTTACCGAATTGAGTCTTCTTTATTTTAACAGCCTGCTTAAGGTACTACTGCTAATATAATATTTATGTTGATAATTCTTTTTCCCGTGCAATACAATAAACATTGTGAATCTTATTATTGTTTCTGAAACTTCTGTTTAAACAATCACTTGGAAAATTCTTATCTGGGATGCAAACCTGTGGATGTGGGTGTGAATCCGTGAATCTTCTTCCCTTGTTCATTGACATGTATACTTTTGATGTTAGTAAATTTCAACATCTCATATATGGCCCCTTAAGTGTGACTCTATTGCTTATTAAACTCTGGACATTTTGTATGTTGAGTTTTATTTAAATGTGTAGGTATGCCAATCCCACTATCCATATTCAGAAGCACCGCATATTTTCATTTCAAATGGCCATATTATCTATCACTTAGACAGTTTCCTAGTCCAAAATGCTGATCATTACTTATACCGTGTCAATCTGGCATTGCAGGTTTTACCGGGATTGATGATCCATATGAGCCACCACTAAATTGTGAGGTATGTACACTATCTAGAGAAAAGCAGAATACACCTTTGAAGTTAAAGTTGAACAGGTGATTGTACATACAGACTGCACATATCATATATACATAAATGTTTCTCATGCTAAAGAGCAATACACATAACGTCATGTTAGCTGGGGAATATCTACTTAAAGATAAAATAGTTAAACGCAATCCAGAAGAAAATATTTTCTACATCAAGAACTTGAATTTGAGATAAATTAGTCGCTTTAAATTGCATGCGACCATATGCAGACTAAAATGAATGATGATCTGGTGCAAACTTGGGGGTGACATGTATGATGTAACTACGGCTGCACACAAACTTAATTCACCTGTTGTTACATTTTCCTTTTTGGCCTATACTGTGCTTGATGTTATTGTTTTATAAATTTATTCCAAATACGAAAGCAGAATTTCTCATTTGTTGTTTTTTCATCCTTTATCTGGCTTCAGATAGTATTAACACATAAAGGAGGAGCGTGTCCTTCCCCATGTGAGATGGCCGAAGAAGTGGTTTCTTATTTGGAAGATCAGGGTTTCCTCCAAGCATAAGAAGTTGGTGGAACCCTTCCTTGAACTGTCAAAACTTTGAGCTCTACTGCAGATGTGGTGAAGATAGTTTCTAGCGCGCCGGGTGGATGCTATGCATCTTGCATTACAGATAAGATGCAGAAATTGATGCAATATTCCTGTAAACGCATTAGTTAATTGCTTGATTAATTTGTGCCAAATCTTCTTTATCTTTGATGTTAGTTTGAATTGTGGTCTCCTCATTGTAAATGATAGAGTGGAGAGTTTCTTGGTCAGATTATATTTTGTTTCGAGTTGGATGTGTTTGTATCATCTCGTGGCGTTTTTACGTGCATGCGTTTGAATATTATTGTAGTTACAAACTGCTGCTAAACTCTTTGTACTAGATCTAATATGTAACCAAATACTTGGGGGAAAAGAAGGCCAGAAGAGCTCCTCTCTATAGACGATGTAAGATGAAGAAGAATTTACTTAGAATTGGATACCTTATTGGTTTGTGTTCTTTACAAAGTATCCATGAGTTTAAAGACCGAAAAGAAAACAGCGAGAAACAAAACAGAGGTTTTTGTTACTGGCCCTTGCCTTTGGCATATGCTATTATTAGTGATTTAGATAATTTAGTAAAAAGAAACAAAAGCAGAGGTACATTAGAATACCTTCTCTTTCTTGTTTGTAACACTTCTCGTAATTTATCATCATTGCGGTGCCAATCGGATCCAAGACTAGGTGGACTTTAGATGTAACACAAAGCCAACAAGTTACTAGATGACCGCAGGTAAAGCCTCTTAAGTTATTATAATTAAGCCTTTAAATACACGATCTGGATCTTGATCTTAATTGTGAATCCCAAAAGAGGGAAAAATACTCATAAAGAACTAGAGGAAAAATGAAAAACCCCCTTAAGAACCAACCCACCTCATCACCTAACGTCCCCCAACCATAAGGCCATAGGCCACACTAAGATTAGACTTGACAATTTTTTACACGATCCGTGAATACGACATGTAAACGACACGAAAATAACAGGTTACGGGTCGACATGATAACTACTCAGGTCATTATTCGGGTCACACGATAAGAACCCGTTAATATTGGGTCCTTAATAGGTTTACATGAGAGTGACACGCGGGTAATCCGTTTCGACATATTAAGAAAATGTTGTTTTGATGATTTTAATTTTTGAAACTAATAAAAACAATTTACTATAAAACAATTTTTGAAAGTTAAGCATATCATATAGGTCCCATAACTTATTTTACCAAAAAAATGATTCAGCGATCTAATTTTCACTGAAGTGATAGTTCAGAGACTAAAACAGCACTTCATCCTATCATATATGAAGATACTATGGCAATATATAAAATGTTGCCTTTGGATCTTGAAAATTAAATGTTATCACTCCTCAATAAATTATCTAGTTTTCTTTTTACAATATGATATTCTAATCATTCTAACTTATAAAAAAAAAAAAAAAAAAAATTCAAACTTAGATGCAAGGGGCATATACACTAATATGGCCAACATTGTGGTGGAAAGGGAAAATAATGAATTCTTTTGATTGGGCACAAATTATCTCCTAGAAGTGAGTTTTGGCTATATATTTTGAGACATAAAAACAAGAATGATAAATCTATTAAAAATAAAATTCTTGTTAGAAAAGAAACTCTTACTGAAAAAGCTCATAGGTCCGGAGACTCTCTTAACATGGGACTCTTCATGGACATTCTGTCACCTCACAATTTAACTTTAATTTTCATGCCAATATTATAAAACATGGTGCAAAAAAATATGAGGTGGTAAAACGTTCATAGAGAGTCTTACTTTTGAGAGTCTCCTTAATATGCTTAAGCATTATAAACATTTCTCTTATTTTATATATGTCTAAGCATTCCTAGGCATTTAGGATCCAACTCATTGAAGTATAATTTTAATATGCTTACCCATTCAGGTGCGAATCCAACCCATAACCTACTAATCTTTGAGATCGTCGTGAAACCTTCTTAAGATATTGTATTTATTAGTTTTGTATATGATTTAGCCCATGCACAATCCCTCTCTAGCTCTAGTTATATCGGTTGCCAACTATTCTCACTGTTAAATTTCAAACTCCATCTCGCATGCCTAGCTTCTCCAGGCCCTTGCTTTTAGCATGTTCTTATTACTGATCTGATAATGTTAGTAATCCCTTGCCTTTAGCATGTTCTTATTACAGATCTAATAATGTTAGTAATACAGAAATACAAAGCGAACAAGTTACTAGATGGTCGGATCGTAGTATATCAATCATCAACTCGATGTCAGACTGTTAGTCAAATTCAAGACGTGCTGGACTTTGGGTGTAACACAAGTTAAGAAGTTACTAGATGACCGAATCCTAGTATATCGATGATTCAAAAGAATTTAATGAGCATAAATGTTGCGTTAAACGTTGTCTCGAATGAAGGTTGGCTAAAAATATTGACAAAAGTTTGTTGACTATATTGGAGATGCTGATTGAAGTTGTGCGCGCTGGCAGTCTCGAACCCAGGCCACCGGACTGAAAGTATCACAAAATCAACATGATACGGGGCTGGAAGGGCTCCCGTTTGGTCTCTTGATTGGGTGTTAACTATTTAAATTTTGAAACCCTGTTTTCTTTTGCTAATTAAAAACATATTAAAGAGAGCGAGGGGGGTAATGAATGACCCCATGGCTCGCAAGACTTATTTAGAAAACATAAGAACAAGAAGGCATTATGATTACGAATACAATAACAAAAATTGACTGAAAAGAAATTAAATTATCTAGGATTAGGGAGTCTTCAACTTTCAACAAACGGAAGTGTTCCAGCAATGATTTGCTCAAAATGAAACGTGTATATTGTGAAAGCAGAGACTGCCTATATATAATGAAAAGACTTCCACTAATCTGGTCTATTATTGATTAGTGGGGATTTGCCAAATCATAGGATAACATAAGAGTCCTAATTGATATTGATTTCTTGTCTAATCAAATAAGGCATCATGATTAGTTGCACAGCAATTAACTTGTTGACCAAGTTAACTGATTGCTAAGAAATTAGTAAATCATATTCATTGATATTCACAATCTTGCATGGTTACCATCTTAGCTGAAGGCTGTATTTATATGGTGATTAGGGGATAAAAAATTAATGATTTTGACAAAAAGAGACTAACTTGCTTTAGGAACAAACGTTGGCTCAATGAATGGTGTTTCAAAACTTGAATGTTGTTTTGATATCCCAAAAACTGTCTTTCGTCGGGTGATTACCAAACATCAATGCATGAAAACTAATGAATATTTCCACAAAAAAGGAGTAATTGCGAAAGTAGTAGTAAAAAACAGAGGTATTTTGGGACACCTCATTTTGCTTTGAATTAAGGTCTCCAAATATAGTCAATAGAGGTGTCAACTGTTAAGGATTGGATGGATTTGGATTGGATTGCTGCCAGTCTCGAACCCAGAACGACCTGGATTGTCAATGTAGCACAAAACCGACTTGACACAAGAGACCGGCTTTAAGGTGGCTCAAGTAATTAATATTAATATAATACGCAAGGCAAAAGGACTCCATGGTTCTGGTACAATGAACCGAATCACCTAGACCGGCTTTAAGATGTGTGTTCTAGGATGATTCAGTTCATTGTACAAGTTAGAGTGGTTCGGTTGATCATTTTAAGAGCTTACATGTCAAGATCACATCAATAACTTTTAAGATATCTCTCACACACGCACAAATAATTGTACATTTGAGTGCATTGAATTCATGGATCCACCTTAACACTAAATTATCGCTTTTCCTTCTCCACTTGGGCTAATTCCAAGAGTTTGGAGCACACATATATTGATATTACCAAGTTGTAGAGAAAAATAATTATCATTCATCTATGCTAGAAAATGAAATGTTCTATCACCTTTTCCACATATTTTGATATTACTAAATACTTTTATTTGTCATTTAAATAATGTTAGTAAAACAGTAACAAAATAGAGTTATATTAGAATACCTCAGTTTTTAAAACATTTTTGGTACTTAATCATCATCAGTTGAACTCTACGACTTGCTACACTTTCGATGTAGCACAAAGCCAACAAGTTAGTAAACCATCGGACGGTACTATCCATGTGTTAATGCTCAAACCTGTAGCGTTAGCAAACTTAAATAAATGATTTTAGGTGGGCTAATTAAATGGACTCAAAGATGTAAGTGGTTCAACTCTCAGAATTGACTTCCATTGTGTTGTTCTCAATATATTGATTTCAAAACTATATAGTGCTCGGCCAATATATTTACTTTATTCTCTCCGATTCATCCAACACCATAATAGAGGTTTTTACCCCTTTATATGGGTCTCACCCCCTTGTGGCCTCTCAAACCAACATTTAATGTGCCAACTACTTGTACTAGACTACTCACAGCTTTTCAATTACTTAGCTTGGCCTTTGTCAACGAAGTGACATTCTTGCAGTCGCCTGGCACCGTCTTTTAAGGGCCAAGTTGCCTGAGCATCTTGCTCGGACCTCGATTACTTTGCCTTACCTTGCCGAGCACTGCTGCTATCTTTATGTCTCATTCTAGGCCTTTGTTATTGCCTGCATGTTGTTGAGTAGTCCAAGTAGCATTTGAGTACTTTTGTTCTCAGAGACTTATGCCATAAAACTGCCAACACACCCACGTTCTGTTCTCGATCGATTGGTTTATCATGTGTCTCAGTCGACTTGAGCAATCAAGTCGACCTGCTTTAAACCCCTTGGGCTTTTTGGCTTTTCTTTGGGCTTATGTCTTTGAATGAGTCTAAATGGGCCCAACGTTAGCAAGTCCCCTAACTCTTTGGTCAAGGGCCTTATCTTGATCATGGAGTTGCAATGGTCGATCAGTGCTTCCTGTTGCACTCGACCATCCATTTCTTGTTTCTTTGTGATGTTTTTGAATTAAAATGGGTGTGTTTTACCCTATTTTACGTTAATGTGCAACTAATTGTATTTAAAATCCATTTAAGGGCAAAAGGGCAAGTTGATGCTTGCAGTGGAGAATTAAAGATTGATGGTGATAATGGAGAATTGAAGATTAATGTTAATTTAAAGGTCCAAATAGTGTTTAGAGTTAATTCAAGATGAATATGGATCTTTAGACGATCAATAGTCGAATGTTAAAGAGTAATTTGGATATCTAGCCTGATTTGGAGGTGCAAATAAAGGAAAAAAATGTTCAAAAACTTGGCTTAATGGTTGGGATCTCCTTGCAATCTGATGCAGCTTCTTTTGCATATAAATACTAGGGTTTCACATCATTTTGATACAAGCCCCCTCTTGAGGACGACCACAATTCTCCATCTCCTATCTCTTTGACTTTTGAATCAGAAACAAAACCCTATATCCCTTTATCATCCACTGCCACCAAAGAAACCATGCAGCTGCGTTCTGCTCGAAGGAATTACTTCAGAATTGCTTCAAGGGGTTTCTTCTATTAATTTCACTCTTGATGTTCTTCATATTAAGTTT